GAATGTTTATTATAATTATTATTTATTTTTATTATTAAAAATGATCTACATTTCACCCAATAAAAAATCCTTACATAGTTTTTTATAAGTGTGTGCTCAACTATGTTTGTGTTTATACTGATGTGTAACACCCCAACGATACGTGCATGTGTACGTGTACGATTCCCAACCCTGTATATATTTCTTTAAATTCATCATTATTGGTACTAGTTTCTTCAGCATTGTTATTAATACTGTTTAATTGATAATTAGTCCAAATTGGTTTAGGAGTTTGATCACTGATACCAATGCCAACTTTGCCACCTTCACATCTCCAATCATTAACAAATTTCAAAACATTCTTTTGCCAGATAGTTTCCAATGCATTAACAAGATGCTCAATAATTTGTTGATTATGTTCAGGTGTATGTGTAATTCTGAAACATTCCTTGCCCTTGGTAATTGATTGATGGCACATAGATGCCATGTTCACTCAACAATTGGCCCAATCTAATTTTACAAGTTTCAGCCTCGCCAACTAATACAGGTACAATGTGGGAAGGGCTTACACGTTCTTTGTTTGATTCTTTCAAATATTGAATAGATGCTTTAGCACCAGCAGCAATTTAAAGGTGGTAGTGAAGTAATAAACATAAATTCAGGAGCATATGATCTAATCATATCCATAAGACCTGCTGAAGCTTAAATATATCTGCCAACAACACCAGACACTTTACCAAGTTTAGCAGAGATGACATCAATTTTATTTAGGACACCTCTAAAGATAACGAGCATTCAAGTCAAAATACAGATGTTTGGCAATACCATAACCACAAGGACTGTACATTCTAACAGCACGAACTTTATCCAAAAAGGTAATTGCAACATATTTCTTGGCCAAATCGCAAATTTTTTCAATATGACCAACAGAGCCAGACATGGAATAAACACTTTCAAGAGCAATGATTTTTGTAGGTTGATATCAACTGATTGAGATCACTATGTTTGAAAATATATTTTTTTATACCAGGATGTCTAATACCTTGGATCATTGATGCATGATTGAAGCATCAGAAAAGATTACACAGCCAGGAAATTTTAAAGCTAAAGTGTTCAGGGTGTTATCATTCGTCACATAACAAGAAATGAAAACCAAAGTAGCAGGTTTATGATGATAATCAGCCAATTGAGCTTCTAATTGTAAATGGAAATTACAATTACCAGCAATATTATGAGTACCAGAACCATAATTATTCATAACATTTCTTATTCTTATTATTATTATTAGGAGAGAAGAAATAGGGGAGGATAAGAAAAGAAGAAATAAATTTATTGCTTGTTTCTTCTTTCAGAGTTAACTTGCAAAAAAAAAAAAAAATTTGTAAAACTTACTGCATGGATTCAAGAAGCATAGGATTTCTACCGATTACAAGATAATTGTTACTACACCAAACAGCAACCTTTTCATTCATGTTAACAGTGTGAGCTTTTGGAAATGGTTAGCAAGACGATTAACATTATTAAAATATCTTGATGTTTTTATTCAATTTATCAGAATAAAGTGCCTCATAATTGAATAATTTAACATTAGTAGTTGACATAATGTTATCTAGAAAGTACAGCATGTTTATAAGGAATTTGTTGTCGTTCAGGGAGATGATTATGATGGATGTGATGGTGAGAGTCAATGGAGAAGTTATTAGTATGGGGCTGGGAGCAGACGAGACGATGGAAACTTGCTTCAAAGGAGAAGTAGGTCGTTCATTTAATTTGATTGAAGAATGAAAACGAATTGTACTTTGAACAGCCAAAGCTTTACTCATAACAGGACAAATTTGGGCCAAAGCAAGCATATCATTGTATCGAGTTGACGAAGAGTTGCAATGTTGATGTTACGAAGAAAAAGAACAGATAGTTCTGGATTGTTTAATTACTTCATTTGAATTGATTAAGAGAAATAAATTTAAATATTGTAGAAAAAAAAAATAATATTAATCAAGAGTTTATTTTATCCGTTAGCATTAGAAAGGTTTTATATTAATGTGTATAATAGATATCAATATAATTTTTTTTTTCTCATTTATTGACAAAAAAATTTTACTATAGAGGAACCATGGATCTGAAGGTTCCTTTCATATTAAAAAAAAATTTTGTTTCTTGTATAAATAGTTGGAATTCGCAAGTTATACTTTTTTAAAAAATAATTAAAATATAATAAATAAATAAACAACTACAGTCAAAGCTCATTATAGTGAATCTCGTTATAGTAGACTTTTTTTATTTTCCCAATCCACTTTATAATAAAATTTGTTCGTTATAGTGGACTTCTTAATAAATCTCTTTATTGTGTATGGTGGACTTTAAAAAATTTGATATACAGTGCAGGACACCTAATCCCGCAACTTACTGCGCCACGACGACGAATTTTGGGAAAAAATTTCCAATCAAA